CCGTTCTTACGTTTGAATTCCAGCGTCGTCCTGTCGAACGCAGCACGATCCGAATCCGCGCTGCTGGCCGCCGATGCCGGGGCGGTCTCCGTCCCAGCCATGATGTCGCCTAATCCTTGCTCATCCATGATGGAGTAGAACAGGCCACTCCAGCCGTGGAAATCTTCCGGCTTCCCGCTAAACGGGACGTATCCTTGTTTCAGGTAGTTCGTGGCGGACGCCATGCTGCTGCTGGGGTGTGACTCGATGTGAATTACCTACCAAACGCTAGGCTCATGACCTGACAACAGAATTGTAGTTGCTGTTTGTTGTGTAGTTGGCAGTGGTGGCGCAGTTTGGGTAGATACAACACAGAGTGATCATTAGATCCAAAACACAGGCGCCCAAGCTGTCTTCACCTGACGGTTACAGACTTGGAGACACGCCTTCACAATACTGCACAAAACCCATGCAGTAGAATAGAGTCAGTTCTTGCATACAAATCCCAACAGGCTGTACGCCGACCCCGCCCGCGCACGGGACGGGGCACGCGGCCGATGCGGTGGGCCTGGACGAGGAACACGGGTGGCGTCGGGGGATGGAGCCAAGGGGAGATTGGCCGGGTTGGACAGAAAACGATTAAAGCACAGAAGGCGCGAGGAGAGGAAGAAGACACCGGAACAACGAGCGCGAGAGCGAGAAGCGCGAGAGCGAGCGCGAGAGCGAACGCGAGAGCGAGCACTCGAAGCTCGAGCAGGCGGGAGAACACGCCGCGAGAGGAGGAGCTCTTGGACATCTACCGGAAAGTGGTGGACGCTATCGACAAGGTGAACAAGTATGCAATGTGTTTCAGAGTGTTGCGAGGTAGTTGTTGCCGCTGGTTAGTAAATTGATGTAGTTTGCTGCTAGAATGCCAACACTGCCGAAACCATTCCTGCTTGTCTGTCAATATTAATTCGCAACGCTGTTGAATGCAACATGTCCCTCAATTTGACGCCTTCCCGGTTTTGATGGATTGAATTTCAATTTGTGTGCACACCTCCGTACAGGCGGAGCAGTCCAACAGCTACAGCAGTATTGTGGAGGACCCGACGGAAATGCGGAAGGAATCTCGTCTCCCGTCCATCATCCGTACCGCCTTGGCGATTCGGGCGTACGCTGTCCTCGAGTATTGTACATATGATTTATGTGTCGCGGTGTGTTTTACTGTTGGATTCTCGCGTTTAGGCGCGGTAGGTGACCAACTCAACGCTTTGGCTGTCTCTCTTGGTGTCGGACTTGGTTAGAGAGAACGGATGTGCTGATTGCGCACGTAGCCATTCGGCTACCCTGCCAGGGTGGGGAGATTTCACCCTGTCAAGGTCACCCTGGAAAGACTACGCTGCAGGCTTGACCCAATGGTAGGGTGGGTACCCTGCGAGGGTACTGATCCCACACCCTGTACGTACCCTGCCACTCAGGGACCCTGGCGGGGTGCACACCCTGGAAAACCCTGTGGAGACCGTGTCAGCCAAGTGGTACTGACGGGGCCGAAAATTAGGATATTTTCCTTTCGAAATTCATTTGTTTGGTTATTTTCTCTTTGTATTTTTTGTTTCATTGGTCTTTATTTTTGTCTTTCCCTTGTCGTCCCTTGCAGCAGCATGTACTGCAGTGCTCCTTGACGTACAAACACGCTCAAGCTCATATACGCCATATATGTCGCCTTTTGACACCCCCCCGCCCCCCGCCCTGATCCGTGCCTTTCCTTGTTCCCCCCTCCCTTCGTAACATGTACAACTCCGGCGCATCAATTCCATCAACAAACAACGTACCGCATGATACTGCTACTATGAGGGGACCTCAAGGCACCCAATATATACCTCCCCTACAGGGTACATGCTGACGTCACCGATTGCACGTACAGAGGCCGAACGCTGCACGCAATATATAATGCTTCTTCGACATAACACGAACGAACACGCTCCATGTGCCCAGCATAGCCAGCTGGCAATGAATGCCAAACCTTCTCCCCCAAATTATCTGATTCCATCGTAAAAAGATAAAAATCTATAAAACTGGGACGAAGAATTGTTCTTTCGATGGAACAATTAAAAACCAACGCGATGAAATTCTCTCGATGGAAAAAATTAAAAGCAAAAGAAATTGAAGGACTCTTTGAGTAACTTACCACCCAAGAAAAACTGCCACGATGAATTTTCCCTCGATGGAATATATATATTTTTTAAAGTTGAAGGACTCTTCAGTAACTTACCACCGCGATGAATTTTCTCTTGATGGAATAAATTAAAACAAAAAAAAGTCGAAAGACTCTGAGTAACTTACACCCAATAAACACTGCCACGATGAATATTCTCTTGAGATGGAATAAACTGAAAACCAAAAAAAATTGAGGTACTTTGTGAGAAACTACAACATCGGGAAAAACTGCCCCGAAGACTTTTCCTTCGATGGACCATGCATGAGATACGGAAATATCAAGACGCGAGGCTCGAGCCATACCAATCTCGATGCAGCACCGAAAGCTACCCACGTGCACCACTCCCATCACGCTAATTTAATTATCCATCCAATCCCCCGGCCACAAAAACATGACTTGTCAACTTCTCGTTTAACGTGTACCAGTGGTAAGGTTTATGAAACACGGATTCGTAGCTCACAGCCGGCCCACGCCAACACCTCCCGCAAATAGTGGAGGTTTCATGACAAGATGGATGCACCGATGCTATTCGAGATGCACTCTCCATGGGCACCTGCCATATACCATCAACACGGCCATGGCCCCGCCCCTCGCACGCAAAACATTAAAACATGTCGTTGAGGTATGCTTCAAGATCATCATCCTGGACGTAAACGTCTGCCGCCGGGGTCTCCGGCACAACGAGGCTGTCCTTCTCGACGTAGTAGGGGGCGAGGAAGCGCATGATCTCCGGCTTGTGGAAGTCGGAGCTGGGGATGGTAAGGATCGCCGCCGTGCAGCGTCGCGGTCCAGTCATGAACTGGAACAAGTTGTACCATAGGCTGGGCCGGACCGTCGTGAGGAAGAGTGGGGGTGCGCACCGATTCGGATCAGTTGTTTGTCGCTCCACATGTGTGCTACACATGGTCATCAACAGCCATCATGAAATCCAAAACACGTATGGTACGGATAGAAAATATTATTGTCGCAACCATAACGGAGGTTAACTCTAATCTATATTTTCTGTGGGAGACGCTAACGTACCCTAATACTACTGTAACTCCGGGAATGCAGGTCATTGGGATCATCGCTTACCTCTCTTGGAAGGCCCGGGCGTTGGCGGAACCAAAGCCGCCGGCAGATAGCTTGATCCAGGCTCTCGACTTCCGGGTGACCTTGCAGACAATTGTCTCGTGGGTGCCGATCTCGTTGACCGGAAGGGCCGCGATGTCGTTAGCTGCGTGCAGCAATGCGGGAGTGACAACCTGATGTGCAATTGAGGGTCATCAAGAGGATGAGGGGGAAGACAAAAGAAGGGTGTCATCAAGAGGACGAGGGGAAAGACGAAACCAGAGCCCACAAAGAAAATGCCATGGGAAGTCCTTCAACTTGCTACCGCTCGCCCGCGCTACCGGAGGCATATAATGTGGGCTCTAGTCCTGGAATACGATAACCTGTTCGGGTTGCAGGCACATGCTAGCAGCCTGCGTCGCGTTAACAAATAAACGGGCGCTAGGTCTACAGACAAGTAGGAGTGCACGCAACAATTTCGTCACCTGTCCAAGGAAGTCTTCCTTCAGTCTCTCCGGTCCCAAGAGGTACCCCAAGGTGAGGGTCTTGCGGGTGGAAGCTTGGTGCGCCTTGGTAAAGCGCCACATGATGCGGGACATCAGGCCAGTCAGTTCCTGGGAAGGCCGAGTTCACACATATAGTAGGGAAAAGGGGTTAGTTGTGTACGGGACGTAGCAGAGCGTTGCGCGCTGACCAGAAGATTTTGGTAGGCTCGTTTTTGAGTCGTTTACCTCCGACTCGGGGTCGACGTCCATTATCCGCTCGCGGACGCCACGGAGGAGGTCCGCGCCGGTCATCGGGTTGTTCGTGGATGCCTCCTCTTCCATGAGAGGGATGAGGAATTCAGCGATGGCGTTGCGGATCTCTGCGTGTAGTTCCGTCCTCGCCGAGACTACTGCTTTCACTAATATGGCTGTGGCAGTGGGTGCAGAGAGGACGAAACAGCACATGGGTCATTTGAGTCTACCTCACAAAGTTCAACAGTGAAGGCAGACGAAGCGCGACAACACGTACATACAGACGAAGGGGCGGAATGACACGGCCACATAAAGCGCGGGAAATTTCCAGGACATCGCGGACAGACGGACACGTGGCTCTGTGAGAGGTCGAGCGAGCAAGACCTTCTCTGTAAACAGAATTAATATTGTAGTATTAATGTCGGGATTTCGCCGCTGGGTTAGGGTTATATGACAGTGGAGTTGCGCACGTGAAAACAAATATTGAACGGTCTGCAAACAAACGCCAGAATGCGTTACCATGCAGCGACAGGATTGCTGAACCTCAGGGTAGTACACCAACAACTACGGAAACCAGGATCACCGGGGAAGGTGTTCAGGTTTTGCCTCGCTCCCGGCCACGCGTGAGAACCCAACGCGAGGAAAGGGTTTGTCAGAGCGCTGGTGGGCCCCCCGCCGGAAAATTGCATCCTGGCGGGACCGACGAACCCATAGGCGTAAACACTCATGACGTTCGCAGCGACCCCGCGGGCAGTCTTCTCGCCGGGGCCCACTGTCTTCTTGGAGGACTCGCCGCCGAGCATGTTGGCCTGTGATCGAGCAAAGACAGCGAGCGAATGTCTCCTGATGTAGTAAGGCGACGCGCACACTATGTAGTACATGGGCGAGAAAACACAGGAACATGGACGATAGAAAATGTGGCTATCGCGTACAGGCAGGAAGTGTTTGCGCGTGAAGTTTGGGTGGCAAGGGTTCGTCAAATAACATATGGACCGGTGCGAGTAACGCGGACGCCTCCCGTGGGCACAGGGCAACCAGCCACAGACGCCGTACACACCTATTAATCAGCGAAGAGGAACATCAAATGCGAGATAAAATGGCGAAATGACAAATCCGGGGTTGAAATCGGCAAAAAAAAACAAGAGAAAACAGGAAGAACCTCACTCAGAAATAAAGACGCAGAGCCCATGCCTCCTGCTCTCAACCCGATGCCAAGGCTACGCAACGATAAAAACAGTTACCTCATCCTAGACCACTGCAACTAGGCTCGCGGCCGAACTCCAAGCATTCCCCACAGATACACAAAACAAAAAAACCAATCGGTGGTGATTCTAAGATCAGTCCACCAGCGCGTGCATGCTCCACTTCCACTCGAACAAGAAAAAAAAACAAAAAAAAGTCAATACGTTTTACTACCCTTCTTCTCATGATAAAAGAAACCACTCACCACGTCGGGGCTGATGAGCTGCAGCAAAAGGCCCAACAGCGCGGCCTTCGCCGCCTTGGGCACCAGCGCAGTNTGGAACCACCGCCCGTGGGACCACCGGACCTGGTACCGCCACTGTGTGATGACACAGAAGCTGAACTCTCGTTGCCGTTGATGCCAGTCGACACACGTCTGGATTTAGCCTGGTGTC